ATCTCATCAACATCTGTAGAAGGTAGTCCTGCCGAGCTCCAAACAATCTGAGCCCTCTTCTCAGGACTTTTGCAAATATAGAGATTATTTCCCTTTTATTCTATTAGAAGGGGGGGTGGAAGGGTGAGCAATTGAGAAACTTCATTATATATTGAAAGAAGGAATGATTCCAAGAAAAATGTATTTTCGCATATGGATAATGCAGAGCTATTTGAGACTCATACTGTGTTCTTCTTCCATTGCAACTTGCAAAGGCTTTTCATTCCGCTTGTATTTCATGTTTCAAGTGGATTATTTCCCTTTAGTTGATAAGAGTGTAATTCAGTTAGGCCTTGGAGATAGTTATTTCATTTCTCAAAAGGATATTTTGCATGGAAGGTTCAATTTTTTTTTTTCTTTTTTTAAAAACATCACCTAGAGCCTGTGGAAATTAGATATATTAGCAAGTACTAAATGGCTAATCACATAGAGAGCGAGGAGTAAATTAAACCATGGTGGGATGAAAGTAATACTTTGTCTAACTACGAAGAGTTGTGTAACTCAGTGTGGAATAAAGTCATGTTCTGCCACTTCGGGCAGCTCCACGGGGCCCTCTATCAGCTCAGCAGCTCAGGTGAATGCCTTTTTGCAACCAAGGAAACACTGCAGCAAAACCACCTCCTGGTCGTTCCTTCTGCCAGCACCTCTGGCTGCTGGACTGGCCACTTCTGGCCCAGGAGATCCCTCCAGTGGGATGAACACGTGTACGTACGCTCATCCAGACACTGAGGCCAACAGGGCTCCTGTCCTGGTTTGAGCTCAGAAGGCAACTGCTCCCTCACCCCTTCCCCCTCCGGGCTGGGAAGGAGAAAATAAAGCAGAAGGCTCGGGAATGGAGGTAAGGACAGAGAGGGATGGCTCACCCATTACTGTCGGGGGCAAAAGACAGACTCGTTGGGGGAAGAAAAAGAACAATTTACTACAGACACTAACAACAACACTTAACAGACTGAGTAGGACAGTGAGAAGCATTACCACATTTTTAAAACACCCTCCCCCCACCTCTCCCTTCTTCGCAGGCTCAGCTTTGCTCCCCATTTCTCTACCCCCTTCCCTCCAGGTTCCTGTGCTGCCCCAGCGTGGGTCCCCCCTGCGTGTCGCAGTCCCCCCAGTGCTGAACTACAACAACGAGGGCTCTTCCCTCACAGTCCCGGCCTTCACCAGGTGCAGCCCCTGCTCCAGTCTGGGATCCCCCACGGGCTGCCGGAGGGCACCTGCTCCATCAGTGCCCTCGGTGGGCTGTGGGCACAGCCTGCCCTCTCTCACAGGCTGAGAGGGGTCTCTGCTCTGGCACACCCCCCCCTCCCCTCTTTCTTCCACTGACCTCGTGTTCACATAGGTGTCCTTCTCACAACTCCCAACTATTCCTCCAAGGTTCCTCTTCTTAAGTACATTATCACAGAGGTGCAGCCACCGTTGCTAATTGCCTTGGCCCTGGCACAGAGCCAGGTCTGACCTGGAGTCAGCGGGGGGTGTGAGAAGCTTCTCACAGGGGACCACCACTGTAACCCCCCTCCTCCGCTGCCAAAAACCCCTCCACACACACTAGCCCAGCACAGCTCCCACCGCCCATGTGGATACCCCAGGAAAGGCTGCAAAGGGGCTGCAGTGTCACAGCCCAGCTCTCTGGGTTTAGCTCCCTGCAGAGGTGGGGTGACATGCTGGCATCAGCACCTCAACACCCCTCAGTCCGAGTTATCGGGGTGTGGGTCTGAACCACTGAAACTGCACCGTGTGACTCAACCGTACAGTCCCAGTGCAGCTTCAGTCTCCTGCAACATGGCACAGGGAAGCATTTTTACCTAATATCTGTCCCCCTTCCCTGACAGCAGTTTCAATACAGCCACCAGTTTGGAGACTAAGGTACTTTGACCTCACAGACGTTTCAGTTGGGGTCAAGGCCAGGGAACAGCCCCTGGCCCTTTCTGGGTAATAAGCACAGACAATGACATCTACATAGTGATATATGGAGATATATATGGGTTATATCTGCTCTGTGCTAAGAGACAGTATTTAAATTTGGCATGCCAGTTGGCAGAAGCCAGTTACATTGCTGCTGGCCCTGGAGAAAGGTCAGTCTGAGCCCCAGTGTCTGCCCCAGAGCCTCACAGCCTTTCTGGTCAGCCCACTCCACATATGGTCCAGAGGGAAAAACACTGGAAAGGGGAAGGCTTGGGTTCTGGCACACTGGTCAGAGATTCGTCGAATAAAATCAACAGCAATTTGTCCTTGACTTCAGGCCAGGTTTTCACAGCTCTGTGGCTGCCTTATAGCTCCTGCTGACTGACTGACACAGAGCAAAGAGGGAAACTGCCGACAGGGGTAGGAGAGACAGCAGGCGTGAAGCTGGGCTGAGCTGTGCATGGATGGCACCACCACCATCCAATTACCCAGATTTTCATGAAACACAAGCCAGACGCTTGAAGCTTGTTCAGACAAGTGGCTCTGTCGATTTGCTTCTGTGGGGACCTGGAAGAGCAAAGCATATTAATGACCCTTCCCTTTACAAGAAGAGCTCTGCTGTGGTAGAGGAATGATCAGAGACTGAACCACTTGTAGGAAGCACAAAGTGCCTTGTGGCTACTTGCTGATTTTTAGAGACCTTCATAACATCGTGTCAGAGCCCCCTTCACTATTAATTTATAGGGTCATACCCTCTGACACGAAGGGAAAGTGAAGACTGTCATTCATACCTTTCAGGGGAAGGATCACGGCCAGTCTGCCTCCCTATTAAAATGTCACATATCCTTTTACCAACTCATAGCTTTGCATTTTTCCTATATTAAACATTAAGTTCGGAGCATATTTTGTAGAAGCCTTCAATTAAACACCTCTAAGGACAATAGCTCATTAGTATGAGATTGTTGCTGTCATTCTCTTCATCCCCTCCTGGCTACTTCTATCTTGATTTGGGTGAATTACACGAGACTTTTCTGAGCTGCATTCAAATCAGATCTTCGGTTAAGAAAAGTGCTCAGTGTTAGGGAAGGAAGATGGGCCGGAGGAGCTGTGGCTGGAATATTAATGTGCTACATCAGCTCCAGAGAAGGGAAGGCTACTTGTGTGTGTACTGACTAACCTAGGACTTGTGTGCTGGCTCTTTTCCCTGCTCTGAAACTGGCTTCCTAATGTCACCCACCACGCTGTTCAGGACTGTGGCCAAGGACATATATGGTGTCCCTGACCTCTGGAAAATACAAGTGAATTTGTCTTCACTCCTCACACTCTTAAAAAAATATGACTAGCTATGCCTGTGAGGTGCTTAGCTCCCATATGGGGGAGCAAATCCATGTCAAGAGCCATCGCCCCAGCTGTACAGGAACAGGGAAACAACCAGTCACCACTAAGTCTTTTAATCTGGTAAATCTGAGAGTTTTCAGTGAGATACCAGCCCCTCCACTGGGTAGTTTACAGATTAGTCCCATTTGAAGCACCTTAACCAAACAATGTGGGAAACTGAGGCACTGGAAAATTCTTTCACAAGCAAGTGTCACAGGCAGAAACTGTGCTGTGCTTTTCTGCTCTGTCTTGCTGATTGCTTGAGGATGGGACTCTCCATCCGGGCAGTACGGGTGCTGCAGAGTTACCCTGGCTGAGCTTTAGGTCCTCTCCTGTATTGTGCATAAAGGCAGCTTAAATGTAGCCTGTGGATTCTCTGCATGACTACAAGGATCACAGGAACATACTTCTAGAGCAGGTGGTAACAGTATTTGCACCTGGATGTCTGAATGCATGTCTGGGAGGAGGGTGGTGGGCTTGGAAGCATTATGCAAGGATACGTGCTAGTGCGAAACATCCTTTGTAATGAATGCTCGTCTGCCTCAGGAAGGGCAAAACTGCTTTTACAAATGACAGGGTGATTTTCCGCTACCCCCCAAAAGAGACTGGGCAAATTTGTGTAGCTCCCAGTCCCTGACGAAAGCTATCCTAGCACAGAAAGTACCTGTGCTGCCTAAATATTTTTTCAGCAGAGAGGTGACGCGCACCTGGCATGCCATGCACAATAACTGTATGTGAGGAAGGCTCCGCTCTGAGCCTTGCCCTCCCCTTCCTCCCCTCTGAGCGCGGGTGGGAGTGTGTGGGTGTGCGGGTGTTGTGAAGGGCACCAACCCACCACCTCAGCTCCTGCAGGTTCCATTGTGTGTTTCCCATAATGGCATTCATTAGTCTATTTGACATGAATACTGTTTTCAGGTTAATATGTTTAACTTAATGAGGCATTTATTTTCAGCCTAAAAACTCTTTAAGAAGGTATGTTTTCTTCCAGTGAGTTCAACTGACGAGGGGATTAATAACAGGCTTGAACAAGCAGGCTAAGAAAATAAATCTAACAAACACCTCTGCGCAGGTTATGAAGTATGCTTGGATTGATCCAAGTAAAGGCAATCATTTCTGACAGTATTGAGAAAAATAAAACACATTCTCCTTGCCTGCACATCTCAACTTATTTCTGTCAGCAGCTATCTGCTTCCTCTAATGCTTTTCTCCCAACCCCATGAAATCTGTGACCTACGTAAAATTTTACAAGATCTGTAGGAGGTCAGAGGGATTTCAATGATATACTGAATGAATCCAGACCTATGTGTTAGCAACAGAAGTTTTTTCCCAATCCTTCCCCAAACGAAGAAAGTGGGATATCGCTAATGTCCAGGGATATATTCTTGAATTTCTTCTCATCACAGGAGGGGACTCTGCAACACGTTCCCCTTCATCCCTGACTAGACGTAAAGCAGATGATCCACCCGTACGTGGACACCACAGACCGATGCACTGACCCTGATCTACACACTAAAACAGGAGATGTCAAACTCTGCTCTAGCTCCCTTTGATTTTAATTATAGGCAACAGATGGAAAAGGGCGTTCCCTTAAGGCTATTAACATTATAAAGAGATTAGATTAAAAAATCTGATGGATTAATAGGGCATACTTAAAGTGTCTCCTCCCAGATCTATTTGCAGCAATCGTCTATCTGGGGCAAAGGAGTACCCTGGAAAATTAACAGCTAGGAGTATGGTGCTGCTAGAGCGATTCCTGCAGCCTCTCCTCAATTCCTGCAGTCATACATTTTCCTCAGTGCATCTCAGAACCCAGTAAAAAAGCACATTGTGTGCAGAGCAGGCCTTAGCGGACACAGGCGTGCCTGTCATGAGACAGAGGAAGACTGGGATGGCACAAAACTGCTGAAAGAACCTGTCTGGTCCTAAATCTGCTCCCCACTTGATTCTGGAAGGAGGGTCACCAGCAGCAGGTCCAGGGCTGAATGAACAGTCCTGACGTACTGCAAATATCTGCATTAGCTGGTCCTGTTTATTAACTGCCACCAGCTGATACAAAGATGTTTCTGATGTTTTAGAACTCCAAGGCTCAGCCTCACTTTTGGATGTTCCAGGCTCTGGTATCTGCACTGCACCCACAGTAAGTACATACCTTACTCCTACAGTGCTCTGATTGTAAATCTGAGCAATTTTCAGTATGGAGCAGATGTTGCAAGGGGTCTAAATTTCAGCTGATATCATAAATTTATTTCAGTGGTTGGTTGGTCTGGAATATTATGTTTCTCCAGGATCCCTGCAGAGGGATAGAGAGTGGCTCTGGGCTTCACCAAGTATTTATAGTCCCTGCCTGGTAACACAGACATCCCATCCCCCCACCACCCCCCCATCATGCAAAGCATCTGTTGTCTCTCATTTCCCATTTCAGGGTCTGGAATACCAGCTTAGATGCAGCTCTCTAACCAGTAGGCAGCCAAAGTTGGACCCCAGGTGAGATTCATCTCAGTCAGAGACACATCTCAAACAGGGGAATCCTGTCCTTGCACCTTGGTGCTCTACTAAAACAGTTAACTCGGATGTGGACCTTAGGATTTATTTCAGTGCAGAGCTACAGTCATTGACTACCAAAACCTAGTTCTGATACCATAATGCAATGATGAGGAAGTGTGTGCCCTGTGTGAGCTTTCTGTACTGATATCTCAGACTTAGAGAGACATGATTCTGTACTGGATTCAATCTCCCTCCACTTTCTGACCAAACAAAACTACAAACCTATAGGAAATCACCCTTCTCATTCTTAGTATACCACAATTTACTCTTTGTGATTAATTCTGGGTATTTTCTGTAATGTCATAGCCCAAGTAACCAAATTAACTCCTCAAGCCTGTAAGGAGTTTCCTTTAATACATAAACAGGGAACGGAGAAACAAATGTATAGATGAAGTTGAAACAGCTAAAATAAGACTGAACTGTCTGACCAGTACATCTCCTGCTGTTTCTTTTAGGACGTCCAGATGTGTGCCTAAGTCCTGCCAAGAATTTTTAAAAAGAGACCAAAACTCAAAAGAGATCACAGAGGACTGGCTGCAGATGAAGAAGATATTTGTGGACAGTACGGAGAAGAGGATATAAGGTGCAACAAAACTATCCCTTAGGATCTCTTATAATGCTATTTTTTTTGTTTCCAGTTCATTGCATCATTAAGCATGTGAATTTTCTTCCTTAAAATGTTATGTTATTTGGAGAGAAACAAGCAAAGCAAGGCTGCTTCAGTCTGCAAAACTAAACTGCAGTATGCATCCAAAGGCTTCTATAGGGCGAAGAGCATCAATATTAATACAGTTATATCACAAAGATACAGAAACTATTTTTCTTAAATCGACTCACATATAATTTGCCAAATACAAAAATCATTACAGTTAATTTGCCATGGATAAATGCCATCTTTATTTTCTTACTGAAACAAAGATTCCTGCAGCCTTTGAGAACGCTCGCACCAAGGGGTCATAAACCAGACACACCTCCCACTGCACTGAGTGTGTCAGCACATTTCAGCACACGGGCTGACACGACCACGTCTGCAGCAAAAGAAACGTCCTGTCTCTAGATGTGCCATCAACCTGTTTGTGGCATCCTGACTCCCACTGAATTTCTCTGTACTTCTACTTTTCTGTAATTAAAATAAGGAGTAAGACCACCAACCTCTGCTAAGTACATTGAGATCCACTAGTTATGATGCAGTGGGTGTGTTTTGACATTGGTTTTTTCCAGTGGTTCTTGGAGAATGACATAGCAAAGTTTTACCAAGTTCCTGAGTCCAGGAATACTCTTACAGAATTCAGTATTAACCACAGATGAGTCCCTTTAGTGAAGCTGGCCTGACTCCTGGCTCAGAAACAGGGTGAATAATGCATGGGGAAGATAACTGAAACTTGATATGAAACTTTCCCTTTGCTCAGAACTAAAGTCTGATGGAGATCTTGGCATGAAAAATAGGCTTTAATTTGTGAATTACCTCCTCTGATAACATATCCTTTTCCTACAATTCAAGAATGACTTTCTCACTGATCTTTGTTCAATTTAATTTAGCACTGAAGCTTGCTATTAGCATTAGTATGTCACAATCCAGCACACAGCACTGTAAAGAAAAGGATCTCCTATGCATAAATATTCGTGCCACTTCCCAGGTCTGCAAAGGAATCCTGATCCGTTTTGGAAATCTTTTGAGCAAACTTCTTAGAATGCAGCTAAGTGACCTCGTTTCATGTTTCCTTCAGAGATACGTATCTCTCCCCAAGGAGGAAGGAAACTTCCTTCTGGCCAAGGAGGATAAGAACACATGTAATCTGTCTGTCTCTGTAAAGCATATTAATTGAATTGAAGATGAGAAAGAGGAAGAACTGTGATCCCCTCTGCTGGTGGATCCTATGGAAGGAGAGGTTTGACTTCTGTGGGCACCTAAGGAGGCCTAGACAGTGGCAAAGCTTTAAAAGCTTAATAGGCAAGCTGCAGCTTTGACCAGAAAAAATTCCCACTGCGATGGGAGCTTGACAGGGACATGCAATTAATTGCTGCTTACATGCCAGTCTGGGCTGGGATTTTCAATCGTAAATATTCTCAGTTCTCATTAACTTTCAGTTATTGATTCTTGCCTGCTCTACACATCCTCAACCCTCAGTCTACAGAGCTGCAACTTTCCAGGGGATACTGAGATTGAGGGAAGTGCTTCGTTTTAACCTTCCTGGAGACTCCTGTGTAAGAGCTAAGGAACTAAACAAGAAAAAAAGCACATAGGGAAGTTTACTGGTATTGAACAGGTATAAAAACCAGATACATAAGAAACCTTCTTTGCTTCCTTGTATTTTCAAATTCCTCACCTTGTGTCAGAAGATCTGCACAGTTAATCTCCACAACCAAACTGCATTGTCTTCAGGGCTCACCTAAGGTTATACCAGTAAGGTTTTGGCCTGACCTCCTTTACTGTTCCTTACATGTGCACACTTCCAGGCTTTTCTCTAAAATGCATTCAGAACATTAGTAACCTCCCATACAGGCTTGGCCTCTGGCATTCACTAAGCTCTCATGCTTCCTGGACCTACCTCAGTAAAAGTCTTGTCTTTTAGACCTTGCAGTGCAACTTTTCAGTAAACAAGCTCCCTGCAATTGCTAGAGACTTTTCTGTCAGCATTACCTGCCTGTTGCTAATTAGATTTATGCAGGTTTGTTTCTGCTCAGAGATCCTTAAATATCAAGTTCCATATCTCTTGGTCCCAAGGCTTCAAAGTGGGAACCTGTTAGTCAACAGGATGCAATCTGGTGAGTTTGAACACATTTCAGATACTGCAACACAGCCAGGAAACCATCTGTCAAGTGAGCATCTTTGGCTTACAATTCAAACTGTTTTTTCCACAGAATATGAGAAATTTAAAACACCCTTCTGCTTTTTTAGAGCAAGGACAGAATAAAGTCTTCCCTGATCACCTGATATATCACTGGATTGCCTTACAGTATCAAGGATGAATCAATACAAAGAGCTGTATGAATGTTGGCTCAGACAGTTTGTGGATTGATAGGATTTGCATTAGAGAGACGAAAAGCAGTTTAGGAAGGAGGAGTGGAAATTCTGGTACCAAAAAAAGATGCCCAAGAAACCTTTTAGTCTTTCTTGGATGCTTTCCAGCTGAGAATCTGAAAGTGTTTCATCATTTATGGACAAAGGATATGTCTACTCTCTAGTCACAGAGACTAACAAATCGATAGCAGTCTAGCTGTGTGTACAGAACTCAGTGTGGGCTAATTTACCATCCTCAGGCTCACGGCGGCCACAGGAGTTGGTGCATATCTTAAAATTAACACACAACAGACTAAGGAAGGAGAGCACACGATTTCATCTTTACCACGTCTCCTCATGTGACATTGGTTGGAGTGCCTGGTCCAGGGTAGATCCAGACTGCAAACCTGCAGTGACGCCACCGAAACGCCACCGATGTACAGTGAGGTCAGAAGTGAGCTGGGATACTTCTCAGCACTCCCTTTCAGCGACCAAGTGCTCATTCATATGGAGAAAAACAGGTTAAACATTGTGACTTACAAGTGCTCTTTGATTCATGCAAATGTGAGGGAACTGATTAGTTGTTTGCGATTCGAAAGTAGCCCAAATTCTTCAAAATACATATATGAAAGATGAAAAAAACTCTACCACACTGTAGAAAATGGGGCTGTTATTAATCAGTATGCACATTTTGGTAAATTTACACAAGATTATAGGAAGGGAAATATTAATTCAGCTATGGATATTAATACAGAAGAAGAAGGAGCTCCCATTTGCAGCCTCAATTGTAGACAAAAATGCAATTCTTTTCAATGATATTATACTGGATTACACGCTGAACCACATTAACATACTCCCCAGTGTTTTGTGATCTTATAATGAAACTTCTATTACAAATCACCCATGAAAGAGATACTATTGTGGGAAAAAAAACACCTTAGAAAGACTTCAGACTGAGAAAGCAACACCCTATCAGCTGGTTTAAACTGTCAAAGTCTCACCAATGGCTTTTGATGGGGGTCACCACAGGACAAACAAGTGGGAGGCAGTACTTGGAAAAAATTTACCCCTTCCTCATCATCAGCAACCACTTGTTTGGTGGATGTTCTACACCACGGCATGGGAGAAGGGCTTTGCCACTGCTTCGCTCTCCCTGCAATAGCATTACACCCTCTGGGATGTCTCTGAATGGAGTGATGATCCATCATCATAGCTAGATCGGAAAAATTTAGACACTTAGAGATCCATCAAAGTCCTGCAGCTGGTGACAATTTCTGACACTTCTGGAAAATATCACCATGGCTTGTGCAGAGGCTTGGTTGTTTGCACAGACAGTGGGTGATTACATTGGCTTGGGCCTGAACTTTAAGTCTAACAGGTACTGAGCCTGACTAGTGCTCTCTGCAGCTGAAGTGTAGGCTCTGCTGGACCTCAAGACTTTTGGGTCAAATCACATTAACATAACAGGCAGCTATAACTAACATGGAGAGAAACTCAGTCCAGCCAGAGCTGTTTTTATTGAAATTTGCTGTGATACCTTGAATTACATCCATTTAATTTAGGTTTAATAAGAATGTTGTTATAGGTTAAACAAATACCAGCAGATCACTGAAGACAAGGATGTGCTGCATTCTTGTAACTGTTCTGGAAAAGATAATTACCTATTATATTATAAACCTCAAACATGTTTTTAATAATAATTGTTTAAATAACATACATTAGCTGCCTTATTAAAAATTAACCTTTGAGAATCATAATTTACTATAGCAACACTTGCACGTTTGGAACCCCAGAAGATAGGAGCAGTGTCTAGTGGTGAAATCTGCAAGTTAATGAGTCTTTGATTCTTTTCAAGTCTCTGCCACTGCCTCTCTCTGTGATCTGGGTAATTTGACTTTCTACATCACCCTAATGGTATTCTTTCCACTTTCGAATGAGCATTATCATCAGCTATGAGCAGGATGCATTGTATGTGCTGTGATTCTGTTCTGATCCTTCAGAGGAGCAGGACAATATTTTGCGATGCAGAGGATACCTTGTGAGCAGCAGGGAGGGAGGGAGGGAGGGCAGCTCTACACTTACCGCTCCCACCTTGAGGCAGGCAGACTAGAGCAGGACTCCATCCCAGGAGAAGTTACAGCATTAAAGCTGAGCCCAAGGATAACGCCCTTTGCAGCCATTTGAAGGTTCAGAGTGGTCTTTGGGACGCCTGTGTTCCTCTCTGGAAGCTGGAGCTCTGACCTATGCATTGAATCTCAGCCAGGCCATGACAAGATGCACCCCGGACTCTCAAAGGAAATGCAGCTGCTTTCATTCTTTCTTATTTTGCCCCCACTACACTGAAGGTGTAATTCTGTGACACAAGCACAGTAATACTGTATCCTGGTCACTCTAAAACAAGATACACACGATCATTCTTGGAAAGAGCTAAACCTCCCCCTCTCAAGGGAAGGGCTGTCTTCCAGGGAGTTGTCTTGAGTCCCTGAAATTGCATTATCTGAAAATTAGTACAGTTGACAAAGCACCTCCTTATCAATAGCATTGCCTGGGGCATTTCATCCATCACATCCAAAGCTGTTGGAGCTGATAAAAAATCTCCCAACTTCACTGGGAAGAAGATCTGACCCTTTGGTTTCCCCTGTAGGATGCATGTTCAGCAGGAGGTAAATGTGTGAGCAGAGTCACTGAACTATGAACACTCCTGCCTTGTAGGAGGCCGTCCCACCCCATGGAAATGTTCCCTGATTAGGTTTTAATGAAAAACAAGTTTGCATCAAAACTAAAATTATATTGTCAGCAGTTAATTATCACTTGTCAAACAGAGCACATGCTGCATTGTGGATTTAATTCTCATGTAGTTTTGTAAAACTGCATTCTTTTGCGTTGGATGAGTGAGCCTCTTTTTGTCAAGAGATGTACGTTGTTTGAACTGCTCTCAGTGGATCCTGGTATTTAAATGAGCTTTTGATTTCCTGGAAGATGAGAGGCTCAGTGTTTTTAAAGTGGCTCATCTGGAGATCAGACAGCACAATAGTGAATATATCTTAATGATTGTTTACATTGTACTTTCATAGTGATAGAACACTTTTTATCCTCAGGTATTTCATAAATTATTTGTAGCTGTGGGTCTACTGTTGGATATACCAAAGTATTACTTGAATGGCTCTAAGAAATGTGTTTCATAAAACACAGGTTTTGGTACACCTGAGATATCCTTAATTCTTCCATTTAAGGAAAAAGATCATCAGGATATTTTAGCATGTTGGTTCTTTCACAAATTCATTTTGAATCGTATGAAAGAGAACCAGCTTGTGAATTTGGATGTTCTTTCTGACATCGTTCACATTTTGTAAACACTCTTTCTCCTGGCTTTCAGAAAAAGTGAATATGGAAGACTGTCAAAAGTAGATTTGCTCTTCACCAGGAGAGGGTTGAGTTTATACACTCACAGCATGAATACCTCAGCATCTCTCTGCTGATGCATTTGTTAGAATCTCCTGGGAAGGAAGATGATGGTCTCCCAGCTCCCGGTGACTGTGCAGTTTGAGCGCGGGGGCTACATTAAGGACATTCCCCACTGACAGAGCCTGGGAGATCTGCACACTCTGCAAGCTAATCTGCAAATCTCTTGGCCATGGAGTTTAGGTTCACACACCCATTGTAATCCCAACAACACCTCTGATACTTCTTATTGAGAGGGTGATTGGCACCGTGATCTTTGCAGCATCTGATGATGTCCCCAAACAGCCAGGCCACCATGTGGTGTCAGGCTGTGGCAATAAAGTGAACAATGGCAGAAGAAATGAATAGAATATTACACCATTACACTACAGACTATGAAAATTACCCTCATCCTGCCAGAGTGTACCCAATGGAGGACATTTTCTCTTTCTTTTTGGCAGCCCTTATTTCTTGCCAGTCCATGGTTTCCTTTGTCCGATTAGGACTGTAAATGCAGTCATTTAAATGAAGTATTCACGCAGCTTGCATCCGCTAAGTATCTTCCCATTAACCAGATGACACTCCTGCTTTGCATAAGGCAGGAATTCCTTTATCTGGCATGATTAAAGGAAGCAGCACTTTCGAGATGCACCTATAAATTTTTGCATTCATTTAAGTCACAAATAGCATTAGCACAATGGACAGATTGTGTCCAAGGCTGGGAAAATAAAACTGCCACATGATATTGATTTAAGTGTCATCCGACCATCCGCACAGTTCAAAAACCAGAGTACATCTGTGTTAGCACAGGCATCGATAAATACAAGAATTAAAGAGATGGTGTGAAGGAGAGGAGACAGAACAGTTGACAATGTTAGAGACCTAAATCCATTATCTTTTGGCCTGGGGAAAGGAAAATAGGCACGCAGTCCAGTCCGCCTTGATTTACGATGCTGCCCAAACCCCTGCCTCTTTCACAGACTTTTTTGTTCCATCTTTATCTCCTCAGTCTGAAGGCTGCCTGACGGACCAACACACCGAGAACGCACCTGGCGCCAGCAGGCACGGGCAGGCTCCTCTGCCACGACCAGTAGCCAAGTGCTCACAGACACACTGGCCAGCACCCTGTCCCTGTGCGTGCAACAGAGAGGCCCCACAACAGGAGATCATGTTCTGAAGAAGCAGCTTGTGAGTTTTTGCTGGCCAAACTAAGGAGCAGAAGACAAAAAGGAGGATGTAGTTCCTGTGTTGTCAGCTCAGGCAGATTTGGTGCTTTAATTGAGGCTGCAGCTCCAGGAACCCTGTGATCGCTGCCGGTGTTGCCTTTCTTTTTGTATTGCTGAGTTTCTAGCCTTCATGCACAGGAAGAAAAAAAACCTGCATACGACCTAATGGCTCGAATGAAGAGACAAAATTCTTGTCTCGGAGAAGCAGGTGAAGGGTTCAATTGCACTTCCCTGCATACTTGATGGACAGATTAAACAAAACAACCCATGCTGCAAGGCTGAGCGCCAGGCTGTGGGGGGTCTCTGCGGAGGACTGGCTCTGGTTTTCTGCTTTTATGACTTACGGAGAGTCTTGAGCAGCACCACACACATCACGGCAGTTTTTAGGCCTGAGTCCAGGCTGGTTTCTGTTCACGGGTTAACTGATTTAGGAGAGAACTTTCCACCCAGCCTAAGGCTGCCTATATTTATGCAAGGACAAAGTGGAAAGAAAAACAGAAAAGAAACAGAGCAACATGAGAATTAAAAGCACCGAACTCAGGCAGTATTGTCTTATTTTATAATTCCATATCAATGTCACCACCTCCAATTTTCAGCATTGTGCTGTAATTTCCCCTAATGCAGAACTAAGTTCTAATCATTTTGCATAATTTAAAATATTGTTTCTTTAGGTGAAAGCAAAAGGTTCTGCAGGGTATATTTAGTTGGATTTTTTTTCCCCTCTCCCCAGAACTTTTTAATGAAAATTATGCCTCTACAGTAACATCCTTTACTTAAACAAAAAAAGGAGGGGAGGAGCACTACAGGATCAGCAACAATGCTTATTACAGAGGGATAACGTGAGTGGAGCCATTTAGCCAATTTACTTTTTAACTAAGGGTTACACTAAATACTTTCATCGTGATGCACAGGGAAATGTTTGCTGTTACCAATCACATCCCTCCCTACCCGCCCTCCCGCAGATGTTGGTGCTGAGGTTTTTTCCAGTCACTTAACCCAGCTAAAGTAAAGCCCTCTAAGAAGAGCCACCCATCATGTCAAGTGAAATGCTCTGTTTGAAAAACAGTGGAGTGCTACAATTAAAAATACTGCAATCACATGCGAGCCTCTGAGAAGTCAGCCGTGCCCTGCACTGCAGTCTTCAGGTTAGATGCTTTCCCCAGACATGGATGGAAATTTCATAAAATTGCCTTCGAGAGGATGCGTGCATGGTGGATTTCACCCTCAAGGAACTCATGATAGCAAAAAATGTGTGATGCTTTGCACTTACACTATCACCTTTCATCAGAGGATCTTAAAGTACTTTGCAAATGCTAACAGAGTGAGCTCCACAGTATTGTATCTTCAGGAAGTTTTCAATATATCAACTCCAGCCAATTTTTTAGTGACGTCTTTAACGCCACTGTGATTTTATTCCCCCAGGATGTCACTTCATTCTGCTCCAGTAAGGTTGAAGAAGGGCAAAGCAGACTCCTGCAGATTGCTCAAGGACTTCTCAGACACTAGGAAAGAAACTTTACGCTACAGCCTTGCATTGCCTCTAATGCAGATGGGATTGAAGGCACCTGGTAAAACCGCAACCAAGGACAGTCATTATACAACCTGCTGCTTAAAAACAAATTTTACCAGCTGCCCCAGGGATATGCTGGGGCTGCATACTCTGCTCTGAAACCCTGGAAGCACCTCCACAGAACTGAGGGTTTCTCAGAGCTGATGTGACATAGTGCTGAGGGATACGGTGGAGCTGGGAATGGTCAGTGGTTGGACTGGATGATCTGCAAGGTCTTTCCCATCCCAGATGATTCTGTGAAACAGCCCTGGAGGTGAAAGCTGCGTGGTTTGTATTGTAGGTCATGACTCCCCATTGCAAAGTGCGGGAGCTGGGGCAGAGTGCTCCTACCATGGAATGGCAGGCACCCCAACTACCCTTGACTTCCCACACAGCCAGCCATTCCTCCATCAGGTAGAGGGATCCCCTTGAATTTACAGCTGGATGCCTAATACTGTCCCTTCCTCACGTTCTTGCATTTTCCCTCATTTTACAAGTTTGGGAACAGCCACACAAATCATGGAGTTCTTGAGAATCAGATCTCTCACCTTTTTTAATCTTCTGAGCTATGATTTCTTCCCTACATCTCTGCATTTTTTTTTTTTTTTCACTGTAAACAAAATGCTCAGAAAGGATAAAAATCCCACAGGACTGAACCAAACCAGGGCACCAACAGTCACTGTTTTCATTTTGGCTATGGATAAACTCCAACCTCATTTCTTATCTTGAAAGTTGCAGTAAGCCACCTTGGAAGCCAAACCTTCAACTGGTGTAAGACACTGAAATCAAAGACACTCTGTGGATTTAAAGCAGCTGAAGTTCTGCTTTGCTGAAAACCACAACAGACATTAGGTAATTGCATGGAGAAGTGAATCAAAGAAATGCCTTTTTTTTTTTTTTTTTTGCTGACAACTTTAAAATCATGCTTTTCATGTGTGAAATGAAAGATTTGTATAATTGCTCATCCTTTGAACTCCAGTTTATTAAAACTGTGACATGCACATTAAAATGAGATTATATATAAAGGGAGGAGAAACACATAGTAAGTAATTGCCACATAATGCAGTGACTTGGGAAGAGAAACAGCAAGTATTTGTTATCAGTGCTAATGAAGAGGCTATCCAGAGTTGTGATAAAGTTTCTCTAAGGGGCAAAAACAAAGAAAGAAATATAAGTTCTTTAGTGTTTGATTCCTGCATCGTCCCCCTGACAACACCATCTCTGTAAGAGAAGCCAGAGCCCAGACCTGACCCCCATCCTTGTGGGTGTTTATTCCAGCTGGTCCATGATTACGAGACCAGAGTCACATCACAGGCTTCTGCACAGAACTGAAAGCAGCAGGGAACCCATCTAAGAAGCTTCAGTGGCACTCATACCAATTCAGGAGTAGAAGCAACTTGCCAGGGCAGCCTTCTGACTTCATACGGGATAGCTTAACCCCACTGCCACCTTTTTACATTCACCTCTGGTTTTGGAAAAAGAAGCTTCAGGAACAGGGAATGCTCTGTCACTTGGGTCAGTGAAGAGAGAAGTTACAAGAACCTAGAAATGGTATGAGACTAGATCATTCCTGGCCGCTACAGCCCAGACTCTGGAGGTAACCTCCACTGCTGGAATCCCCCGAAGCACTGACTGCGGGGGGTCACAGGGCAGGCTATTGCCCTGCCTGTCCCGCTCAGTCTGTGCTCCCCCGCACCTCTACTGCTGCCTGCAGCCAGAGGCAGAATGCCAACTAGAGACCTTTGATCTGACTCAGTATTTTGATTTTTGCCCACCTGAGGAGCTAAAAACCACTGTAATTTACAGCTTCCTACAGCCTTCCATGGCTGTGATAACTGTACTAGTTTAAATCTATTACATATATTTTGAATCCAGCTCCAGAATACTTAGGAGTGATACTTGTTCATGCTGTGACTTTACTGTCCAAGCGCCAGGAACTTCTAAGTCAAAATTCCTATCATCAAAACCAGTGAAAAAAATCAGCTTTAAAGTAGTTGAGAGATCACCTTCTGAGAGATGCAAATGTTGTTTATGTGCTAAAGGGACTAGTAGAACAAATAAATTGCATCGGTCATATCCCAAAGATAGGCCAGAAGAAAAGGACATTGAAGGGACTGACAAGCCACCTCTTCCTTCAACTCATCCACCCCCGGGGAGATGTCAGCCTTTCTCCTACATTAATAGTAACTAGTGAAATCCGCTCGCTGAGGCTTCGAAGTGGCACCATGAAACAACTATTTAACTCTCCTAAAACACAGGCAGAGAGCTGCTCTCCAGCCCCACCAGGCACAGGACAGGTCCTCACCAGCACACTCTGTTCTCTACTCTGCTGCCGACTGTTCCCAGCGCTGCCCCAGCCCAAGCGAGGGCTGTCAGCCAGACATGTCAGTGTGAAACCCGGGTAGGAACGGGGGCAGCTGCCAGCTGGAGTGTCTGAGCCAGCAGAGCTGAGGAGATCAGGAGCTGGAGGTGGTGAAGGGCAAGGACCACTGCTCCAGGCAGGCACTGGTGCAGCTGGATGGAAAGAGCTGTCTGTCTGTCTGTCTGCAGCCGCAGGGTCCTACAACCCAGCAGTGAGGAGGGATGCGCTACCCCTGACTAAATGATAGGTTTCCAGGCTCCTTTTAGAGGCAATGGATAGATTCTTTCTGAGGCTGGATACTGTGTCTCTAAGGAGACCACACTTCTTTTCCCTTATTGCTTTCGGAATACCCCCACAGATCACTCTGCCCAGCTGCCTAACACACGCAGAGCCACCACTGCCGGTGATGGCAATAAACATCACAGCCTTTGTACCTCCACTGCTGGCCCTCACACATAATCCCAACCCTGCATCACCCAGCCACCCAGCTGCTTGCATACCAGCTGATTAGACGTAAAAAACCAAAAGAAACACCTGACGTAGGAAAAAGGAAAATTGATAGGGTTATTTGAGACTTGTCCTCTTTCCTGAAGTGACTGTCACTGTTAAGAACATTTTTTATAACGCTTGTGAAGTATCAGATGGGAATGGTGGTGACTGCTGCTCAGGATAGAGTCATTCAAATAGATTCAGGCCATTTCTCCTGTCACACTAATTATTGCTGTAATAGAATGGGATGCAGGAAGAAGAAAGAAAAAGAAAAGTGGCTAAACTGACAAGTCCTTTCTTTCAGTTCTAAGTCTCTCAAAATCCTAGCTCTCTGGATTTACATGGTTTATTAACAGCGTGTCCCACAAAGTGGAACAAAAGTATTAACGAATCAGGATGAATCCTCATGCTGAGCTAGCTGTGATGAAGCCCCTGTGCTACCTCTGAGCATCAGCATGGTGACAGGTCACACAGCACACACTGGCAGGAGCTGGGGAGTAAAACCCTCTCCAAGAGACAGAGCAGTTTGCAGCCATTCAGCAGGGGGTATTTCTCCTATGTCCAGAGACATGTCTATCTCCTTTCCCGAGGTACAGACCGAGAGGGGCAGAGAGAAGCTACAGGGCTGTTCTGGGATGGCTCTGCAGGGGCAAGGCAAAGTGCTAGCGATGGTGGGGAGGGAGGGAGGGAGGGGTGCTAATACAGATTAAAATTTCTTTATCCTTTTCCCAGGCCTCACTAATTTACACGCACCCCTGGAATACCATGGTCCCATGGAAACTGGAGTATAATGGGATTGAGCCCCAAATGAATTGTGCTTGTTCCTGTAGGCAGGGGAGGGTGAGATGTGAATCTCAGCTGCCCACCTGCAAGGCCATACCTGTGCCTGTGGCTCGGGCTGTCTCCGCTCCTGGAGCACCGTGTGCTGTCCTGCCAGCACAGCACCTGCCACAGCAGGGCCCAGCCTCATGTGGGCCCTTGCGGCCCTATGGAACATAAATAATAAAGACCGTGGTGCTAAATGTAAAACAGTCACAAAGACATGATTATCCCATAAAATGGAATTGAGACTCAATGAAACACTGTTTCACAGACCACAAGCTCGTCCTTTCCAATTCTTTGGAGACAGCAACCCACCCGTGTGGGGTACGTGGCAATGCTGCAAAGGCCCCAAGGTGCAAAGTTAATGCTCTCCGAAGTGGAGGCAGAAGAGACAAGAGGGGGTGTGGTGGTGGTGGTGGGGGGAATGTCTGTGTGTGTAAATGCAAGAGTTCATCCAAAAGGTTCCTGGAACAATAATCCTCCCAACAGTCAAAAAAACGTTTTGCACAAAAATGAGAGCAAGCTGAGAGATGCAGAGTTCAAACATTGCAGCAGATGGCAAATTAACTGATTTGGGCTCTCTCCTCAAAGAAGCTGCTGTCCACGCACGTGTGTATATGTATTTTGTGGGTGTCTCACCACCCCCCATGTCCCATGACACAGACCTTGCTGTGTACGCTGTCTTGCCGGCAGAACCCAGCCAAAGACATTTGGTGCCCATGGAAAGTTTCCCACGTAAATACACAGGCTTTGCTGTTGATCCGTTTTCTTCAAGCAAAATGTGGCAGCCATGGTGGGATGGGGAGCACACAGGGCTGTTGGTCTGGCTCCCCGATACCTTGAGCAGCAGCATATGCCACTTGAGATGGACCTAACTGGGCCTGCAGCCTCAAATGTCCTCCAACTCCCAGTAAACTCATCCCAAGCGAGTGGCTGTGTTCAAACAGACAGTCCTCGCTTTACATGTTGAAGCATCATTAAGGAAATTGGTCACAGACCGCAGAACTGAACCCGTGGCTAATCTCAAACCGGCCTCCATCACCAGGCAAGCTGTCCCTGCAGGGCCAGGACCCCATGCAATGACACAGTGCACAGAGATCCTGAGAAGGAAAAAGCAGTGTTTGCCAAAGTACCACTTTATCTAGCCCTCCTGCCATCAAAGCCTCAGCTGTACTTGTGGTTAGTTTTTAATCTGTATGCTGACTTTACTACACACTTTGCTCCATGTGTGTATTGGCAAAGCTCCTGCAATGCAGTTATTAAACTCTGATACATGTGTAGGTGTATAATTGCAGAGAGGACTTTTTTTTTTTTAATAAGGTATTTTGATCCGTCTACAAATATAGAACATAATTATCTGCAATTACCACATGCTTATCTAAATAACTGTATATTGTTCCCCCTCCCGCTGAAGAACATGAGCTTCCTATTCATGGCACAGCCACAGTGATGCTGAGTTCACAACTGTGCGCTCCACACCACCAATTACTGACAGGATGTTTATGCAGCGTGTAAGTGGCAAAGCGAACACATGCACGCGCGCGCGCACACACACACACACACACACAAACACAGTTTAAGAAATCATTAAATCTAGAGCCGGGAGAATTTGAAGATTAATAAAACGGTATTGAACATGCAGTCTGTCAAGGGCAGAGTTCTTGTCAAATCCTGCAGCAGATGGGTTGTTTAGTTAAGAGGCCAAAACTTGATACTTAAGGGAATAGCTTAGTTTTCCTAGTTATCTTACAAACCTGCTGGGTAACTCAGAGGACTATGCAGATTATCAGTTATCCATTATGCATAACAGAAATACCTGCTTTTTTCTCCCAGATCAGATCCACTGTAGATCAATTGCTAGTTCCTAATTCCTTCAGTTTAACTTCACCCTGTTTTCACTTCCATTATGCTTAAATGATCGGCTTTTAGAAAGCAGGATATTTTCCTTAACACAAGTAGTCTAAAGACTACAGTTACCCAGTCCTTCTGCTGTTAGGAATGTGGGGGAAGAAAGGATGATAATACCAGTTCAATAACGAGAGCCACTGACTAATTTCCAGCTGATGTTAGCACAGAAGATCTCTGGGGTCACTGAAAGTGGACTTATTGCCTTCTCATAGTGTAAATACATGGCTGTGGTGTACTACAGCCTGGCTTAAGGTGGCTGGGGTAGCTTAGGCTCACATTCGACACTGCTCTCTTGCTTCCTAGGATTCATTCACTCCATCACCTCTCCAGCCCAATTTATCATAAGTCTGTGTTTATTTTTCTAGTGGATGGGAAGGTGAGGCAATTCTAGCCCAGCTTTGGCCAGGTCATGGTGTCAGACTGAAATCTGACAATCACTTTACGCTGATCTAATTCTGTACCAAAACAAAAAACTTTTTTTTTTTTTTTCTTTTCTTTTCTTGTTTTTCAGCTGGCCTGAAAATCTGACCTTCCCTGACTCACGGTCCTGGAGTGCTGGTTTTTTGTCAGATCTACACAGCAGAAAAGCTGGGAACCCCAGACCCAGGAAAGGGCAGGCAAGACCAATCACTTCTGGGGAATTCAGATCAACTGAAATCACTTACTAAATCCCCACCTGCCTTTCAGCACTTGAGAATACAGAGAGGGAGCACTGGTTTAATGGAAGCTCCTCTATGAAACTAGAATTTGATCTCTAGTGCTGGAAAAAATACCAGGACATTGTCATGTAACTGCATAATTCTGGGGGGAAAAAACTACTTTTGTCAGCACCCAAAACCTCCCACAGGTACATACTGGCCAGTTATGACCCGAAGTCACACAGAAGGTCAGGGTATAGCCCTGTCGTTACCCACTACCTTGCAGTTCAGAGCATCTCATTGCTCCTTCCCTAGTTCAGCAGTGCAGCACAAGGGAAAGCGTTCCTGGGTTCCTACCCTTGCTTTGCAATTCCAGACACAGCTCACAATTTCCGGCTAAGAAGTTCCCCCTTCATTCCAGTGCCAATCAATCAAAGATACAAAAACAAAGCCTTTGTGTGTATTAGTGTTTCACAAAAGAGCCCTGATCTTTGTTTTGATCCTCTCAAAATGAATACAGTTCAGAAGCCAATGCAGCCATACATGCAAACATATTTCCTGCACCCTGTATCTTCACCCTTCAGCAATTAATGTCATTTACTAACCATATTCCACCAAGTAAAAGAATATGCTTGTTTAAACTGTCTTATGAAGTGGCACTTCACAAACAGAAAAGCAGGTGAAAGGGAAGGGAGAATACCCCAAACTATGTCCTAAACTTTTAAAAATCTATTCCTGAGTGGCTTCACAATGTGGCATCATTTCTACATTTATCCAACAGGTTCATGAACTCGTCCCTTCACTATGGATTCCAATTCCCATTGGGGTGAAATATTGACAGTCTGGTGCATTTGAATTGCAACGCTATCCGGAGTTGGATTTGAAAGTGATTATTTGAAATATAATTGACCGTGACATCCATACGACAACCAGGTGTAAGTACTGAACGACTGGAGGCGGACTCTGTAGGAGGCCCATCACTTCATTTGCATTCCTAGGAAAAGAAAGATCATTTTGTCCTTGCAACAATTTACTGTTCTTTGTTATCCTTCTAAACATTGCCCCTGTCAAATAATGCATATTCTGTGCATCAGTCTTATATATGTATATTTTTTACACTCCATTCTTACTGCTGCTGTTATTTGACAGAGATTTTCTTCTTCTTTAACCCTTTTGCCCCGAACATGGACTATTAAAAAAAAAAGGCTTTGTAATATTCCATGTCTTTTTTTATATAAATTGTTCTGAGAAGCAAAATTGTTGTTATTATGCCTGAATTTTCTTGCTTTTTTTTGTTTTTTAAAAAGAAAAAATCTTTAACAATAGCAGTGAGAATGGAGAGAGGGTGAAATTACATTTCTCTGCAAAGTGGCTTTGGAATTTTAACATGATGATTTTCCAGGAGAAAAGCTTAAGGGATCATATAAAATGAATTTTGCCATCAGAGTAAGAGATCTGTCTTCAGGTGGGGAAAATATATTTTAATTTCACAGAGGGCTTCAAGGGACTTTGACAGAATTCATTTTGCTGGCAGATATGATCTAGGTATTAGACAAAAACACATTTCGTCATAAGAACACTGTTAGCTATTTGACATAATGCGTTTTGGACACAGTCGGGATTTGGTGGAAGTGACAGTCATTTTCTTGCCAACGAAGAACTGGATTATTGTTTCCAGTTAGAAAGACCCCAGTCTCCTGCTCAGACATGAGAAACAGTAACACGATAGTCCTTTTAAATTGGGATGAATATCAGAAGTCACCAAAAATTTTTGACACCCCCTGGTTTGACTCTGCAACCCATCTTTGTCACTCCAACACTGCAGGACTCTGGCTGGGGGTAGGCTTGGGGGAGATGTGTAGAGAAGGGGTCTCAACCCTATCTCACCCCCTGCTTAAAATGGACACTCTCTCTTCCATGCCACTTCTGCCCTGGGTGACAGGGGACATGTCACTTCACTCTTTGCTCCAGTCAAGGGCACTAACGTAGCAGGGAGTAGGGATGCTCGCTCCCAAGCTACTTGTTTTATCTAGTGACTATTCCAGGCAAAATGCAAAGGCAATCCTGGAGAACAGATGCAAACATGTAGGACTCCCTATCTCTGGACCACTGAAGGTGCAGCACCTCACAGTTCCCCTGGTCTCTCTGGGAACCACTGCAAATCAGTGGTGAAGATTCAGCACAGTGAAGAGCACTTGGCCTTGCAGTAAAATCTAACCTCATGCTCAGTGCAGCCTCGTGCTCGGTGCAGGCACTACATGAGTGAGGGTTTGAACCGTGTCAGGCTGAGATGGGAACTGAGTGTTTGCCTCTGGCAGTTGAAGAAAGCACTGTAACCGCTCAGCTGCACATAAATGAGAGAGCAGCTCAATTCCTGCTTCAGGTTTTCCGTAGGTAACAGCCTGGGCAGCTGGCAGGGGTAAGGGATTGGCCATCAGCAGTCCAGGTGGAATGAGGTGTCTGCTCCCAACGAGCTTCTGCTCCCTGCTTTGTATAGAAACTTCCACTCACTGGGTCAAATCAGTCCCTGACAGATTTCTGCCTGCACCCCATCTCTGTATGAGAACGGCTGCCTCCTGCTAAAATATGTGCTGAATTGTTAGGGAGGAGATGGGAGGGTGGTCAACACTCCTGTGCTTTCAACAAATGTTGGCTATTACAGAAACCTGAGATGAAAATTCCCCTTTCAGCTGGGTCCATCCCTCAGTACAGCTGTCACTGTACCTCCCTAGGAACTTGGCTGATGTTTTGTTATTTTTCTCCACTCTCATTTTTTCCCTGTCTCTCATTTATGTTGTGGGTTGGGTTTTTTTTTCCCCCTCTCTTTTTGTGTTTTAAAGAGCTCATTGAGTTAATTTTGTGCTTCTGCTTCGATTTCATTCGGAGAGGGAATGATAGAAGCGTGGGTTCATTCGTTGAATCTGTTCAGTCCTCTTTGGTTAGAGGAATGTGAGTGATGAATCACAGCCTCTATTGTTGTGGGTTCTGACAGTACTGTGGAAATATTTTTAAACAAAGAAACCAAAAAATTACATATTTATCTAATGAATAAATTACCCTTTATGCATAAACCGGCTAGGCAGGTCTCTGCCATAGCAATGTGAGAATATTTACAGTATCTAGGCCAGAGAACAGCAATGTAATCAGTGAATCCTTATGTACAGGATCCCCAAAGCAGGAGTGAGAGAATAGCAGATATTTCACATGAAAAGTCAATAGCATCACTGTGACTTCATGATCTTTCATGAACTTGGACTAGGCCAGTTTTTGACAAAGCAAGATCTCTGGCATGTTGAAACTTTCAGTTCAAGGCTTTGCTATATATGATCCTGAGAACTATTTAAGTTTTGTGAAAAGCTCCTGGCAGCAAATCAGTGAGAGAACCCAGAGACACCTCATTAGTAAAGAAAGTAACCCAGAAAGGGAGTATCAATGACTGTGAGCCCTGAGGACATCCAGGTGGTGGGAGATTCTTACATGAGTGCAAGAAGTGCTGCTGCTGTCCAGCCATCTCCAAGTGCTGGTGATAAAGAGCTTCCCTGGAGAGAATAAACACAGACCTGCCCCCAGTGTGGGTCTGTACAGCTCTACCAAAGTCAGTGGGCACTAAGCTGAGGATACAGCCCAGGCAGCCTGAGCCCTCGGACAGGGCAGGAGCGGTGACAGATGATACTCGCTGGGGCCAAACCCAATGCTGCACGGCACTGCAGCGGTGCCGTCACGCCACTGAAGCTGTGCAGATGTGCAGCAGTGGGGATATCTAGCCCAGGCCTGGAGGAACATCTGAAAATGAAGAACTCATGGAAATTTGACATGCTAGAAGTTCAAGTTTGCTTCTGACTGATACTGAATGCTTTCACATCCTTGTCGAGCTGGGTTTTCAGATGGGGTAAATTCAGAACTGTTCTATCCCTGATGGCAATGCAAACTTATATCAGCTCAGTCTGGCCTACAAACAGCATGTGTTTATCTCAGAGGAGAGGGAATTCAACATCATTGAGGAATGGGGCCTTGGAGAAGTGAAGGTGTAAGACAAGACAAGCTCCACTGTCTGGTGTGATTTTGACTGTTTAATAAAGAGGGCTGCAGCCACAGACAGAAAACAGAAAAACTAAGGAAAATTTCATTTCCTCACTTGTCAGTAGCAAAGAGGTTGGCAAGGACTGAAGGAGGCTGAAGTGCAAAGCGTGAGGCACCAGCCCCCTTGTCTTCAGCAGATTAGCTTGGCAGTTGGGCATCTCTTCAGCCTCGATGAAAGCGAGAGCTTGAAATCAATGTGTGACCCATTACGCTGCCGAATTTCAATGCAGAAAATGCATGAAATACGAAGTGAAAGTTCAAGCAACCGAGTGAGCCTTCTGAACGCCTGTTGGGCAATAATTAGCTAATTAACAGTCTTTTGCTTGGCTGCAGTGGAATTTGTAATCAATTTCACACGGAATGGGCCGGAATGCACCTGTAATGGGATTCTAAACACCCGCCATCCCTTGTTAGGCGCAGGCAAGGGTGCATGTGAAAGTCAATGTGCTTTACGCAGCATGAACCAGGTTTTCAGGCAGCACAGACTGGCAAGGCTCTATTTACACCACCTGACCATCTATAATATGGTGGTGGTGGACGAGAGGGGCTCCTTAGCTGCCTTTTCAGCAGCACGGCCTTGAGGCCAGCAGGACCTGCCTCCCCTGGGACTGGTGAACTCCAGCTGCCCAGGTCAGGTCTGGTGAGAAAGGGCAGTCCTGGCTCACTCCAGGTGAGAGCACGTGGCTGTGAGTTCAAAGTGAGGGTACTATCTCTGTTAGCCCCAGGATGGACACCTGCCCAGATCACAGAGACATCAGCGGAAAGCTAGGAGCCAACAGAAATAGTTGATACAGGGTTGGAGGGGTGTAACCCTTCCTATCTACATTAAGCACCTCTTAATTCACTCAGGGGTTCATTCTGTGAGGACTGAATTTCCCTTGATGGACACTGCAGCAACAGCTGCAGCTAAGGCGATATTTAAGGTTTTTCTTGCTAATATATTTTAAATGTGCTTTTCCTATCCCACATCTCACCCTATTCGATGTTTCTCTGTTATGCCAATACAAATGTTTATGGGACTGCAGTGTAAACAGTCGTTGCAACAATCTGGTTGAAATTCAAAATGAAAGTTCTGAAGGAATAAGAACAATTTTTTCCCTTTTTTTTAAAAAAAAAAACCAACCTTACACTATTTCAGCAATTTGGTTCATAAGCAATCCTCTAGATAATTCCATTGCCACAAATGAGTAGGGCTGAAGCCTGGGAGTGACAACCTCTACCCAGAACGACAGTTCTCCAAGGTGTCCTGCTGCTGAAGGAGCCGGCAGCATACAGGAGCCTTCGAGGACACCTATCGATGTGTTTATCTCTGTGCAGTACGCTGATTGTAAGCACCGATTAGTGTTTCCTTATAAATCGAAAAGACATGAATCAAAATAGAACACCACACTGTAATATTAATGAATAGCAAATTGATCTATCTATCTTTCCACTTCACGTTCATCATTGCCATGGCACCTAGGCACCAATGGCAAAGTCATCGGTTATTTCTGTTGCTTCCCATCAGCCCCTGGCTTTTTAAGCAATGCCTTTGGGAACATTGCTACCGCTGCTGCCATCTGATTAATTAAAAAGAAAAAACAAAAGACAGTAACTTAATTCAGAGGCACAACAGTTTTAGCAATAGACTCTTATTATTTGTCTATTTTTTTAATTTAGTTCTTACAGCAACCCTTAATTTTCATATTAATGTGTCAGGATAACTTCCCCGTGCTAGCATGCCACTGGGACCACCATAATTAATGTATCTAATGTGAAAGTTTAAGGTTCATTAGGTTTGGAATTTAGGCAGGTTTTTAATCAAGCATGTTATAGCAAATCATTAAAAGCTAAACACAATTTGTAAAATACAGCAGTGCTGTTTAGCTCGAAGTTTGCTTGGGGCAGAGCAGGTGGGTCTGGGAAACACTTTGCACCTTTGAGACCTTCTGTCAAATCAACCAGGACAGCGACAGACAACACAAACTGATCTCCTTTGGCAGAGAACAGAAGAAGCTGGGAAGGGGTCGATTTGCCTAATAATAGTGGCAATTAAGAGGACAGCTGAGTTAAAGTCAATTGTGGTAATGGTGATATCCTCTCCCTGCCATTAACATGTCACTCATCTGAGCAGAAGCAGGTCCCACGCAGAGTCAGGCCGTCACACGCTGTTAATTATTGTACACTGGCGTATCCAAGACCCCTGTCAGCTCAGGGCCACGCTGTGAGAGGTGTCGTCATGCACTCACAAACAACATCCTGGCACCAAGGAGTTTGCATCTAAGAGGGCCAGAGAGGCTGAGCGGGGATTGCTGGCCCCACTTACACACCGGGAGCGAAGCACAGAGCAACCTCAGCGAGTGGTCAGACACAAGGCGATGCCCTCAGCAAGGTCAGGATGTTACTATGCTGACGGGTTTGGATCATTTTTGAAATATAAATGCCAAAATTCCAGAGAAAACTGCTTTAGGAACAACTGTTCTAGATGGGTACAGCACCGAGTGGTAACAAAACCGACTGTGACAGGATACAAACCCATGGCTCCTAAAATGTCAGGTTATGCCAGTAATACCAAAGACACAAAATGATGTCTGCAACTGTGAGGAATTCTGTCACCCTGAAAAAAATCATAGGCATGTGTGAAACCTTCAGCAGTGTCCTGATAACCCTGATAAAAAAAGACTTCCATGCACGTCCCAACTCCAATTACCTCCTCTTTTTATTCTCTGAATTGTTTTACTTAAGCTTCCTTTATACCTAAAAAAGTTGTTTCCTTCTTCTTGTCCTTTTTTTTTTTTTTTTCTCTTTTCTTTAAATAAAAAAGCACTTGGCAAGCAGGATTTCCCAAGCTTCGGTGATCTCAGCTGCATTCCAAGCAATAATCCTAAGAACACAATGTGACTGAGACAGCTCAGCTGGGCAATAGCAAGAACAAGAGATGTCAGAAAGTGAGTGTCAATCACTTGCAGGTATCATTAATTAACTTCGAGTTACTCATTCCTATTCATTCTCCAAGTGATCTATCAGTGGAGGCTCCAGCCCTCAGACACTGCTCTGTCTCCATGTTGGGATCTCAAATGCTTAGGATGTCCACCCTGACTATCAAGAGGGTGCCAGGAGAAGTGGTGGAGAAGATTAATTGACATCCTCTGAATTTTAAAGGTGAGAGAAGGGCAAAGCTGACAGGCTGGCTGGGAGCCCTGGGCCTCACATGGGTAGTGTCTGTCCTTCTGAGGGCTTAAGGCTACTGAGGTGCTTGCCACTGAAACTGCAGTGAAACTAGTGAGGATCAGCCTCTTGTGCACCTTTTCTCTCATCTTCACAGGCTCAACAGTGCTCCAGATACTGTGATGTCAGTGCACATCCCTACCAGGGAGGTGTTCTGCAACTTCTGCAAACCTGCCTGTGAGAATTTATCTGATGACCTCCAGTGTCTGATTTTTGTCCTGCATTCTCATAACTGTTTCCAATTCTGTGCTTTGATTCCTTAGGCAGTCTTTGTTGGCAGATGTTAAGTTTCACTCAAATAGGTTTTGCAACATTTGATCTTTCTTATATCAAGTTGCTTTATTCTTCCCTGTCTCCTGCACATATTGTCATCCATCTGCTGAAACCTGCCTCATTTGGATTAGAGTGCAAGTTAAACTCTAAATCTGATTGCATCAGTCCCTTTGCCACTAGAATTTCTGGGACAATTAAACTGGCACCTCTTCTTGCACCAGATACTTTGAGCCTTAGTGCTTAGCATCAGCATTTGTTTTCTTATAAGCAAGAAAATTTTAATGGGGTGCATCTTCATTCTCCACCTACAGCATTTCATCATTCAACCGAAAAGTAAAAAAAAAAAAAGCAATTAACTTTTTTGCAAGCTCTACTTAGAAGTAGAATCTAGACCTTCCCAATACCTCTCAGTGGACCTGACAAACCTCCTGGACATGACTTTTTAATGGTGTTTCTTCCTTGTCCAACTCTGAACCAAACTTATTTGGCCTTGTTTTTGTTAGAAGCAGATGAGATTTAAAAAGGATCTTTGGAAGCTGACCACCCAGATAACAGATTAAGTATTTGATTTTATTAGTCCTCTGATTAGTCTTGTTATGTGCTTCTTTAATACCCAAAAAAGTTACAAACTGAGTTGAATTCCTATTTTAGAAGTAAGTGCATCTAAACAAATCATACTCTGTTTCTGGATTTCACCACCGCTCAACAGAAAGACACCAACTGGCTGTGAGTGCACGGCTCTAACTCCTTATGACCACAAACTGAAGCCATAAAGATGGTTTATATGACTCTGTTTTACTTTGTGTTTGTAAGGAACTAGGACTGCACTATCAGTTATTGGAAATCAGGCAAAGAGTGTTAACTTCTAACTGATGTAACTTTTAAAGTCGTGTTTTACTCAGTCTCTTTGATTATACCACAGCCTTAGAAGTGTTAAAAATCAATTTTACATGGTTTTGGAGTTTAATACTTCTGAAAATGGGATCATGTCCAATTACATAAGAAAAGTACATACTTTTCCCCAAAAGTTCATAGCCCAAGTAATTCTCACAGCTTCTTTTTTTTTTATTTTTCCCTAATTTAGATTGCCACCAAATCTCAGCTTTGTACAGAGGGCCATCACAAATGTGAATAAAGATTCCTTCCTCATTTGGAAATTATACAAGACATAGCTCCTCCTCCTCAGAGCATACACAGCACCTTGGTAAAAAAGTGAATTATAGGCAGTGATTTACAGGGTACTTTCACCACTTTTGACTGTGTTGAGCATCTATTCTTTGATTGGGACTTCAGTATTAAGGAAATTTAATTTTAAGAGTCTCTAGCATTTCCAAGAACTTTAGCATTATGAAACTGGGGAGAATTCTGTAAACTCTGATTCTGAAGTTTCACTGCTTCAATATTTCTCAAAGACAGTAGATTTCTGAAAGGAAAAGATCTGATTCATTATGGGGCACAGATCAGACAGTAGGAATTATGTCATTTGTCCTGCCACAATGGTTGTTCCATCTCTAATTCCACAACATCAACCTAACTAATAAAAACCCACTTTCTTTTCCTATAATACTGTGCATACTTAACACTGGAACTCTTCACAGTCAGCCCAGAAAGGAAGATGAAAACACACGATGTCAGAAGCAGGGAAGAGAGACTTGCTGAAGGTTATTTTTCTGCTCTCCTGTGGGACAAGACTAAAGGCCAGAATTAGAAAGAACAAAGCTCTAAAGAAACACCTTTAAAAACTTCTGACCCAAAGCAGCTACTTATTTTGTGGAGTTGTTTGCTCCTTGCTGACACACTGGTCAGGAATGTGGCTGGAGCTCACCATGGTTTGTGTGATCTAATGTACCAGATCACAGCAAGTGGAACAGAAAGGGTGTCCCAGGAGCAAGGGGCAGCACAGAAGAGCATCTAATGATCTCATCTATTTAGCTTTGCAGTCTGGCACAAATGTGCCTTCCTTGAGTGACTTTTCACTGTTCATTACCTAGCATCTTCTTCCCCGAGGGAGAGCTGCTTACAAAAAGTACTTACAAAGGCACTGGGCTTGAAAGATGTACTGTGCTCCTGTGTCTGACTACCAGAGGGCAGGCTGAAGATGTCCTCCCCACAGCTAGGCCAAGGTCCTCCAAGGGACTTGGCCCTGAAGACAGATGGTGATGTTACAGCAAACCTGGTTCCTGCATGAACTCATTTCTCCCAGTGGCCCAGCCCAAACAGCGGGGTCATCTGCGAAAAGCAACCAGGTAAACCTCACCTCCCTGACCTGTCAAGATGCTATCATCTCCACAAAACAAATAGCAATGCAAAAAGGCACACAAGTGAACCACCTTGCGGAATATATGAGAGGTTAAGAGAGTTTCTGGCTCTGGAACCAAATCTTTAACTGCAAAGTTAGCTCTCCTGGGGGAATGCAGAGAGGTGAGAAACTGCTCACAAGACTGGAGCTGGATTCAGTGTCCCTGTCATCTCACGGCAGGATTTCTCTCTTGTACACTACACATATTATACACAACTTTCCAGGTCTAGATCTGAATCTGCAGCTCTCCAGATTTTGAAGTGGGAAGAAAGATCCTGGATCTTTTCTCTCCACATTGCCACATTTCACCACAAACTCCTGTATTTCACTCCCTTTAGAATCTTTTAGCTGGCTTCCCTACTTAAACAAATACAGACTGAGCATTATTTTCCTGTCAGGGTTATGCAATGCCTTATAAAATATGAATTGTCATGCAAAATGGCATATGTCTTATGCAATTCAAATGCTTCTCACCCTCCTGGGCATAATTACTGGGAAGAATGAAAAAAGGTTCCTTGAAACCATGAAACAGTTTACATCCCAAGCCCCTCCTCGTGCAAATGAAAGCAATTTTATTACTGTTTCGGTTCTGATAAACACAGAGCAAATTAGACATCAATCATCAAAAGCTTTGTTCATCTATGAGATGATTCCAGAGTGACAGTACCTTGGTAATGAGACCCTGTGTGCCACAAAGGAACTCAAGCTGGCTCTCAAACCCCTGGCAGAGGAACAGGCACACTGCACACCTCGCAAACCTGACTCCAGTCTTCTGTCCCTCTTTCACTTCTGAGTGGCACTGATGTGTGAAGTGAGATGGGCTCATCTGAGTTCGTTCCTCCTAATTATTTTAGATCACCATGGGGTTACAAGCACAAAATCTGACAAGTAAAACCTGCAGTCATTTACCTAAGTCTAGGCATGATCCTAAGTGGAGAAACAATCCAGTGGTTTCATGTTAATCCTGCCAGTTCAGAACTGATGCACAGTGAGCCGAAGGCCCTTCCAGGGCAAGTTCACAGCTTCAGGAGAGTTACTGCAAGGACAGATGTCATTTCATCTGACATCATTGGCAGTGTGTGATTTAAGCAAGGGGTGGCAGTTCTCAGTGGTGGTTTGACGGTCAAAGGACCAATATGACACCAAAATAGAAAAACCCTGCCAAAAGGCATTTGTTGTTCATTATTTTTCTCATAAGCTTGGCCATTTCACTGCTCTGAGTCACCAAGGATGGGAACAAGTGGAAGGACCAAGGTGAGGGAGGGCAAAACCTGAAGCTGCATTCAAAGACTGCATCTGTAATGCACAGCCTGAGGTTCATAAAACCTGGATTAACGTGGGCTGGGCCAGGCTGGGATCTGTTTGGTATTTTGTACCACCCAACCCTCCCTTTTATCACCATATACTACATCTGCTATGGTGAACCTCTGCTGTGTGGATCCCAGCAAGGCTTTGATAATGTTCTGCAGCACGTGAGAAGAGCAGAGTGAGGGCATGAGGTAACCAAGTGAGCAGATCTCCCGAGGTATCACCACTGCATTTCCAAAAGAAAGTGGGTAGTTCATCATTCAAAATAATACACTTTTTATATCCCTATCTACATTTTTGTTTGTTTGTTTAATTCCTCTTATATCTATTCTGTTGATTATTTTGAACTGATTAGATTTTGGTCTTACCTAATAAGAAACAATCACGCCTGGAAATCTTGAAAGCTGCTGTTACACAGAACTGGCATACATTTGTCATCATGAGTTAAGTGTACTGAAAATGAGATCTGAACTCTGCAAAAGGCTCACCATTTTCATTTGCCATACCCCAATCTGCAGATCCAGACATGCACAGTTTGAGGGTACAAACGAGGTGATCAGTAAGTTTTTAGCTCTCCTGGCACCCATGAAAGCAGTTAGATGCACACATCAGTAGATAGTGTGAACTGAGTAGCCCAGAGGGAGGAATAATTATTTATGAGAAGTCCTGGATTTGTCATGATCCTTGCTTTGTCTCCATCTTACCTTCAGCAACACTGTCATTGGCAAACCATCATTCCAGGATGCTCCAGCTAGTCTTTTAACTTGCTTGGTGGCAGCAGTAAATTTGAGCTCTTCAGGTCTCTCTAAATACCTGATTCTGTCAGTCCAGAGGGCTGAGGAGGTTTGTTGAACAAGCTTCTCCTTAATATCAATGGTTTGTTTCTCACTTTCTTCACTAATACTCCCTCCACCCTTTTTTTGAAATTCTCTTTAGTCATTTAAAACTCAGGACCATTTTTCTTTTCTTATTGAGTTATTCACTTTAACCTCTTCAGTGTACTTCTGTGAAGCAGGTCATAACTTATAAAAGCTTTATAGCTCCTCTCTATGAAGCTGTGCTTGTATTTACAACCAGTGGGTCAAAAATGACAGCTTAAAATGCTGTTCTTCTTAGCTGACTAACCAGTCTGGAGAACCTGACATCCTTCAGGATTTGCTGGAAGCTGTGGTGAAATTCAGGCTGAGGTATCCCAATCCAACAGGGAATACACACACATCCAGGAGATGTACCAGGGCACCAGTCCCCACAAAGAGGGACTAAGGGGACCTGCTCATGAGGAAATAGATGTTAAGTGGGAAGCAACCCAACACGGTTTTCTTCATGGTATCACAGAATATCCATTATATACTCTAGTTTAGAGTAGGACTAAGGAGAAGTCCCAGAAACTTTCACTGGGAATGATTCCCTTACACTATTTAGAAGCTTTAGGTAAAACTTTACTTGAGCTACAAGATTTTGCCAAATGGAAGCTCACAAAGACAGTAGTTACTTCTACAACTGTTTCAGATCATTTTTCTAACATGTTGGTATAGCTGAGGGGCCAGTCCTAGATACTGTGGGAAAGGAAAAGAAAACAATAGGTTTTTAGTAACTAGAGAAATTCAGACAATGCATAGTGAGATCAGTTCTCACCATAAGATGGACAGGAAAAAAAGGACTATTGCAGCCTAACAGCAAACACAGAGCACAGTAAGCGATGTGCTCCCCATGAGTGTGCCATCAGCTGAAGGACAAGAGGTCTAGTCTCATCTTCTCATGTGTGCACACAGAATTCATACACTAATTGCTGCCTATTGTCTCAGCACAGTCTCATTGTCCCCAGAGTACCAACGTCCAGGCTGCAGCTCCCTCCCACTCACAGCACGTCCTTTATTCTGTGCAGAGCTCCACGCTTCGCTATGCAAACCAAGCCCACAGCTAGGATGTGTCAGGTGTTAGAATGCATTTGGATGGGGTTGTCTCTACACGACAATTCATAATTGAGTTTGGCCATTTGGGTTTATTTCAGCTCTACTTGGCAGTTTTGTTACTCTTCTAAGTGTCCTCAGGTCCAACGGTCCAATGTAGATTTAAATGAAAAACATTTACATTATCAAAGTCCTACAGATCAATCAATTCTTCTCCATGGTGATTTCTGGCTCTTCTGTAGCTATACCTGTCTGACAAAGACTGTGGGGTTAACTACATATTTTTACAAGATTACATCCTTCTTTTGGTGGAGTGGTCTCGACCATCCTCTGGTTCAGAGCACAAATCATTCTTTTCAGCTTCTTTGACATTTTTTAGCTTGATGTATAAAGACCTTTGATAGCCCCTGCAAACTTGCCATTACAGTAGGCTGCCCATGAATCTATTCAATGACTCTGTGCATCTAGTGAATTTTGCTGACATTTTTCCCCTTTTTGCTTTAGATGATTGGCACCACAGTGATACATTCTGGAAATGCACACAAGTGGAGCTGATTTTCAGACCTGACCAGAAAATTTATATTCTTAAAGTTGGATTTTTTTGTTTTATCTTACTTTATTTTTTTAATATCTCACAACTAAAATGGAAAATTTCTTCTGAAGAGCTTTGATCTGGAAGACAGATTAAATAAGAAGAGACACCTACTAAACACTGAAAGAACAGCCCCCATAGATGAGTTGTTGAATGAAGAATAAGAAAAGGTCAGATTAATGCTGGGCTCTGTAATCAGGGAAACTGGTCCCTTGAAGACTAAATTATTAAGGGTCCTTTAGCATACAAAGATATTAAATTACTTTACAAAATCTTGTCCTACATTTGAATGCCTTGTATGGCCAGCCTTTTACAAAACTGTTGGAATGGAAAAAGAAATGTGACCTTTGTCTGAGATTTTCTGTGTCCAGCAGCTCAGCTGGAACAGAAGCCCTAAGCAGGCTGCCTGATGCCCAGAAATCCCGTACAAAGCATCACTGTTCATACCCACATAATCTGCCTGCTGGATGCCTGATGCATCCAGGACACATCTGATTCACTGAGCTGTGTCTGTGTTGATTGCCTTCACAATCTTCCACATGAAATGTGGGAGCATTGCTTTGATCATTTAATATATGAGCACACAGACAAGCTACCAGGGGTGAGAGTGCACAGGTACTTGAAGAATAGTAGCTGCAGAAATAACCTATCTGCATTTGCTTCCAAAACAGGCATCTTCTTCCATTAATCCTGTTGCTTCAATTGTCCCACTTTTACCCCTTCTTTCCTGAGGGGTAAACAAGTGTACATGGGCAGGAGGCCTCCAGCTCCCCTCGTGTTAGCTGTCGGAATGCTGGGATGTGTAGTTTAGGTGGGGTTTGTGGGCTCCTCCTGTCATCACTAAAGATCAGCATTCCCAGGAGGGTAAGTCAATCCCACCTAACATGTGCCTCACTCCCTCTTTCCATTAACTACAGATGGTGCTGTCATTACTCATCTGGACAGCACACCTAACGTTTAAAGAGGTAAAGTTTGGTAAGAAATGTCCTACTCTGGCTCTAGACTAATGAATATTGTCATGCCATGACGCTGCTCGCTGCATGTCATTTAGCACATAATATATTCCCATTTCCCCAGTGTTGAAACAGAAAATAATTCTTCCCCCTCTGTTTTTTTTTTCACACCCTGTCAGTGTGATCTCAAAACTGCTGGAGTTGAGATGGTCTAGTAGTTATTCTTGCTGCATATGAACCACATTTAGGACATGATACTATCATCTGAGTTGAACTTCACAGGAAACAGTAATATAAAAAAGGTTTACTATAATGACAAAATGATACATGGAAGAATAAAGCATGACATTCTTTTAATGTCTCCTGGCCAGGCAGATTTTATCTACAGTGATTGGTTTTTGTGCAGTGATTAAATATGGAAGGGGATTGTTTCACTTCTTCCTATCTTAATTTCCTTCTTTATTCCCTGTTAGGTCATCGATCCATTTCTCATAAGCAGGTATCTTCTTGTAAGAAAGTATCCCCTAGAACACCTGTTCTCAAGAACAACTTCTTAAGAACAAAAAGATGTAACACCCACCCCAAGACCTCTGGGTATGGACCTCATGCTGACAGTACTGCCGTCCTAGATTGGGGCCAGTATCTTCAATTTTGCTCCTAGGGAGAGTGGAATTGGGTAAGAGCAAACTGAATTTGACAAACTGTGTTCTTAATTAATTTACATCCAATTAGGATTAATTAATTGCTGACTAAAGTATCAAGCCATGTAATTATGTATCAAAATAAATAATCTTATGCACTAAATGAGGTGGCTGGCTACAAAGTGGTGACACACCACTATGCCACGTAGCCTTGCTTCCCGCAGAGCCTGGGCTGTGCTGCAGGTAAGTCAAAGCAGGGAAATTCCTCCAGTCGCACACAGACTGGTTTTCATTTACTCAGCACACCCCTAATACAGCTCACAGCAGGTATCCAACACCTCTCTGTCCATCCCACCGCCTCTTCCCCAAAGAAGGAACATTCTGAAGGGCAGGATCAAATCCTTCCCCTGGAGCCAGTGAGTCAAACCCCAGCTGGGGATCCCACTGCTCTGAGACGGGGGTGCCCAGATTAACCCCAGTGCTCCTCCCAGCACCCACACCCTCCTCTCCTGAGAGACACAAGGTGTTCTGTAGATGTTGGGGTTGACAGGTAAGCACACTCAGGTCAAGTGGCACTGCCCTGATCCACCTGTTGACAGCAGAGTCGGACACAGACCCAAGTCTTTGTGACCCCCTATCTGATGCTCTACACACTACCCTCTGTTGCCACCACCAGCATTAAGTGAATACCAAATGTCTTGGAGGGGATCAAGGATATTGAGGTGACCATCAGGTCTTGTGACAACTACCTGACCCGAGCCAAACCCGATTCTGGTATTAATGCCTTTACTCTTTGCTCTTTTGAGACGCGTGGAGGCTTTTTCCCACTGAAGACAAAGGCAGCTTGTATGTATAAAAGTATTCACACTGATAGCCAGAAGAGTTAATTTTTTTTTTTTTTTTTATTTTATTTTTTTTTTGTGGCTGCAAACACGTAACGAAATTTAACATGCTGGGGACATATGATGGACAGAAGGCCTGTCTCACACAGACAGCTGAGGTCAACGGGGTACCAGTCTGAGGCAGAGGTGTAAGGATAATGCAGTGTGATGTAGGCACGTATACAAACAGGACAACAGAAACAGAAATAACAGGAAAAAAAGCCTCCTTCTAGGAGGAGGAAAGTAGGAAAGGAAGTATCATCTTAGGATGATTTCCCTGTCTAGCTATAGCGCTTTGCTCTCCAGTTCACTAGTAGATACACATTGTTCGACTGAGCAAATTCAGTGTGACACTCACAGAGAAGCCGTTCATGAAAAATTTGGAGATTTTTGTCAGGTTGTATAAATGAATCAGCCAAAGTGACACTGCGTAGGAGACAGAACCATCTGAAGAAGAACAAAATAACCTATTTCTTACAAGGTCTGGATTTCACCTTAAATTCAAATGCCAATTGGAAGTGGCATTGAGGGTAATGGACTTTGTGAGATGTTAAATGAAAAAGCACAGGCAGGATAAATAATCTGAAAGTGCCTGTGTTGTCAATAATGCAACAGGAAAAGCCAAGAGCTGTGAGATGTAGCAGGATAGGACTGGGTGCAGAGTGGTTAAAAGGTTCTTTTTAATATCCCAAAAATGCAAGTTTGAGTCATACTTCAGGTGTCTGCTAAAAGATGACCCCAGCTAAACTTACAGTGTTGGAAACTAAAACTGATCAGGTTTGATATAGCCAGAGTATTCCTCTGCGGCTCGTGGCTGAACAACCAAATTACCTTAATGCTGCTAGGTGAGAGGGTGGTATCTGATCTTGGGTGAAACTGTGAGGTTACAGGCACAGCTCCTGAGAGGAGGTGGCAAAGGAACAAGGTTGTGGTTTGTTCCCAGAGACCATTTCTCGTGTCTGCCCTTTTTTGCAAGGATGGATTCCAGTTACTTGGACAAAGTGAGACCAAATGTCTCCAGCCTCTGAGTCCCTTCACCTCTGTGGCCTTACAGCGATGGCAACATAAGATGCCCTTTGCAAACAGCAGATAGTTCACACCACATGTGATGATATCCTGGGAGTCAGGAGACCAGACTGTTTTAGTCTCTAAGCCACATCTACTGAGTCTTTCCACCCAGCTACACTAGTCCCAGTTTCCCCTAGAGGCAATGAAAACGATCTCATTTGTTGCCCGCTCTGAGATCTGGGGCAGGAACTCTTCACTTCACAGGCACAGGACGAGTGCAAGGCTGTGCTCTGCTCCTCCCAAACTCAACAAACAGCTCCAATCCTGCCCATGCATTTTACTCAGCAGGGAGTTTCACTATACAGGAATCGTGCCCAGTCTGAATGCCTAACCTGGTTCTTTCTGTGGACATCCAATTCTATAAAAGGGGAAAAATATAGCTTGAAAATATATTTATATCTAAGTGTTCTGAAGAGCTCTGTTGTAGCTATGAGGAATTTGCGTAGGCCCAGCTCTCCTGACAGTACTCAGTGACCATCTAATATCCCTGTTATCATCTTAATACCTCCCTAATACTTGTTTAAACAGATCTAAAATTACTCGTAGCTCTCATAAAGAAGAGGATGTTGTCCCTGTTCCACCTGGGTAAATAAGCACTTGAAGCAGAGGAGAAAGGAGTGCAGTGAGATCCCCTGTAGCTCTGTCTGAATTAACCACAGGTAGTGTCTGAGTACGTTTTTTATTGTGCTTCAGCTGCCGCTCTACCTCTGTTTAACTTCATTTCCTTCTTTCATTGCCTGGGTGCCTTATGTTTTGTCTGCATCCACTCAGTCAGCATCCCTGCTCGGGCTGTGCAATTTAGCTTCAGAAAGTCTCCAGAGTGCCTGCTGTGAGGTGCTCCTTGTTATTTCATTTTCTTCCTGATTCGTAGTTTGAGTATCACTGCTGAAAACTCCATCGTGTCGGCCATGTCTCTCCAGGCCAGATTTCCAAAGCTATTCAGGCACCCAGAAGGAGCAGAACAAGCACTGGGCTTCCCAGAAGTGCAGGCAAAGCTGAAGGCTGCCACCCCAAGGCTGAAGACACTCCTGGTCCCAAAGGGACAATAACAGGGAGGAAAAATGGTGAAGGGATAAGTGTCTCTCAACCCTCATCTCATTGATAGCACAAGGCTACAGAAACTTTCCCCCCAAATCCCAGGGGGCACAGCAGAGGTAAGTCCAGCCTGAGGCTTGGCTTACCGGCAGCAGGGCTGTGCCTCCTGCCTCCTGCCACAGGCCTGAAGAGCTCACACCCCCTCGGCATGTTGGCCCTGCCAGAGAGGAGGTTTGAAGGAGTTATTCCTTCACCACTGTTTTTTTGACTTCCCTTCTTCATACGGCAGCCACGTGCCCAGCCTAAGGTGGGAATTAAGTGACCAGCATGCTTTCAGCTCTGGAAAATCCGGCCCTTCGCTTCCTGCCTTGGGCCCCCTGTTTTCTGCCTGCATGAACCACAGTTCTCAAATATCTTTTTCTTTTTTTCTGCAACAATACCACTCCTTATCCTCATTTTATTCTTTACCATGGCTATAAGGGCCATGGTCATAAGGGCATCATATCTTGGGAATTCATCTGTCCTCATGATGGAGGCCTCCCCAGGCTCCAGAGAGACATTTTTCCTTGGCAACAAGGGGCTAATAACACCATCCAGGCTGGCAGGCTGCAGAGAGTGGGCCACATCCCCCACGGGAGTAAACTGGTGGAGCTCTGTAACTTCAGCAGACCTGCAATCACCAACATCGGGCAGGGGATCTGACCCAGCATCTGCAAAGCTGAATGCAAAGGCAGACGCTGAATAGTGCTATCTTTGCCTCAGCAGCACTCTTCATAGCTCCTGACATCCAGAGCTCAGCAGTGTGAGTGGTCCCTCGAGCCAACAGGAAGGTTTAAATCCATAATCTCCTGTATTAAAGCCTCTACTGTAGAAATATTTGTCCTCTAACAGCATCATCAGCTACTTATGAGACAGAGAAGAGCAAAAGCTTTTTCACTCAGTTGTTACTTTTTTAACGTTAGTAGAAGGTATTCATCTAGCCCTGGCTTTCTGTCAGGTATGAAATGAGAATGTGCGTAGTGTCTTTTTCTTGAGGTAAATTACCTACATCCTTCAATAAAAACAACTAGAAAGGACCATCTGAATCAGTCCCTAGCAATCACAGGAACAGGAATCTAAAAATTCCACTTCAGTTTTCCCCCACAATATATACTACTCTGAATTAAGATTAAATTCCTTCATATGCCAAGGCCAAGAGCTATTTAAACTATAGTGTGCCATGGGAGGACAGCTGGGAAGACTGTCTGCGTTTACTCTGTTTTGTTGAATAGCTACAGAACAAAATTGATGTCACCCCACAAAAGCATTGGGCTGTGTCTCTTTGCAGGTATGAATTTTACTGCTCCCTATGTAGGTTTGTATCCACTGAAATCATTCCTTGTTCAAGCGATGTGAAGACTCAATGCAAAGGCCACACTGTTTTCTCTACATGCTGTCAGCCATTGATTCAGACAGGGAAGAAATTGGCTGTGAGTATGAAACTCATGATACTGGCTTCTAGAAAGGCTAAGTCCTTGCTACAAGGGAATGGCATGAATACACAAACAAGGCTGACATTTTCCTCTGGCTAGGTATATGGGCTGCATGCTATTCCCAGGGCAGGAGAGGTAACATTTTCACTGCTGATCAAATCACTGTTACAAACCAGATCCTAGGATCAGCCCCAAGTTGAGTGGATATTAAGAGGAGATGTATTTCCCTTCTCAACCCAGAAATTCATCCATGTCCTAAGAAAGAAAGAGGAATCTCTGCTTGAAATGCATCAGAAATCCTTCTTGACAAGTTGACTGATGCTAGGCTATCTGTGTCAGGCCTGGGATTGAACATCAGCAACACTAAGTCACCTCAGTCAAAAACTTCTAAAACTTACCACAGACAGATGCTGCTCTTAATTTAAAGAAACTGTTCCTGACCTCCCAGCACAGGCTACAAATCTGTTTTCCAGAATTTCACAGTATTTACTAAGGCACCTTTGCTTCTGTTCTATAAAGAATAATGTTTCTTG